CTTTGTTAATGGGCCTAATCCTGTTTAATGTTTTAAGTTGTCTGGGTGTCCCATCACTAATCAGGGGCATTCTAGTAACTTCCTGTATCATTGTACTACACCATAATATAAATAATAGTACTGTCGACTGAGTAGAAGAGTTCGACATTCCTGCATCTCTTCTTCTTCTTCTTCTTCTTCTTCTCTTTTCTGCTATTTCGGCTACAGTAATTTAGCTTTCAATGTGTATAAGGATATGAGACCCTATGCATAGTGTCATGAGAATGAAGGATCTTAATAGAGCTTGGAATTCATCACCTCCATATGTTTGAAGTGATATAATATTCTTACTAAAGTAGGTTTCAACTGATTGATTAAAATCAAGAAAAACTGATGCAAGCTCAAATTTAAGACGGAGAGGAAAAGTCATATGTATTTGCTGAAATGATCAAGAAACAACACATAGTAATGAAAGCCATTCAAGGAGGAAAAAGGGGCTAGGCCTGACACATCAGCAAATATCAAATCAAGAGGACCATTACTAATAGAAGAAGAAGATGACAATGAAAGACAATGCATCTTTCCTTTCTGAAAAGCATTACAAACAGAAGAAATTGACTTATTTGTAGAAATCGAAAGATTAATGAAACATAATGTGATGAATCGGCTTCGTGTTAGGATGACATAATCTACTGTGCCATCCCAAGATAGTCATTCTTTCGCCAACGTAAGCTATCGACTTGAAGTTCATAAAGTCCATAATTACTCTGGCATCAAACAAGGCGACTTCCCATTGTTTGGTCTTTAATCACAAAGAAGTCAGTGCCTCAGTGGGAATTGGTGACTCTACAAGGACTGAGATACTAGCTGTGGTACGTGGAATACAAGTTGCTAGCCAGCTTGTAGTAGAGAACCTAAGCTGATAGTTGAAGGGGACTCCAAAGTGGTAGTGGGCTGGCTGTCAAACCCAGAAGTAGCACATTGGGGTTACAGGGATCTTCTGAAGAAAGTTCATTGGCTTACAAGGAACATGTCAATTCATTTTCAGTGGGTCAGCAGATTGGCAAATGCCATGGCTGACTCTTTGGCTAAACAAGGGTTATCGAGGGATGATCTGTTCTGGGCTACCATATAATTGTAATTCAGGATAGTGTGTGTGCTTAATTGCTTAGCTTTAAGGGGAAGTAACATCTCGTGCCTCCTTTTAGGATGACTGTACACCTTTTCTATTCTATGCTTAAAAATACCACTCATTTATCAAAAAAAAAAAATCACAAAGATGTCAAGAAGAATTCAATAGACATTATTGTCTCTAGTTAACTAATGTATAGAAAGCAAATTCTTGATGGCCAACAGACATAGGATATCATTCATATGAAGAATTATATTATAGAAACTGTTTTCTTGGTAAAAAACCAGTAGAAAGTCAGAACATAGAGAAGAGTGAAAAATATTTGGAGTCAAAACTTGGGCTGGCAGTACCAACTTCTATATTTATATTAGGGTGATCAAAATATAATAAAAAGAAAGGAAAAATTACATGTGTCCCTGCAACACTAAACTGCAGTTTTTTAATAGTTTTAACACTCCCCCTCAATCATGCCCAACTTGTCACATAAGTCATTGTGCTGCAAGTGATGTAGACCCTTTGTAAAATTGTTTACAAGTTGCTCCTTGGAATTAACATACAGAGTGCACACTTCCCCATTAACAAGTTTATCCCTGATAAAGTGTTCGTCCACCTCAATATGTTTAGTTCTATCATGAAGAATAGGGTTGGCTGCAATGTTAATGGCAGCCTTGTCACAATACAAGGACATGGATCTATCAACTAGAAAACCTAGCTCACTCAACAAATTCTTTATTCACATAACCTCAGCTACTCCATGGGACATTGCTCTATACTTGGCTTTAGCATTAGACCTAGCCACTACAGTTTGTTTCTTGCTTCTCCATGTAACTAGGTTGCCTCCCATAAAGGCACAATACCCACTTGTGGACTTTTTGACATTAACTGATCCAACCCAATCAACATCTATATACACTTCAACCTTCAATTGCCCATTCTTTTGGAATAGTAAATCAGCTCCCGGAAACTTCTTTAGGTACTTGAGTATTTTCTCGGTTACCTCTAAGTGTGTGGTCTTAGGGGCATGCATGAATTGACTAAGAACACCCATGGTGTAAGCAATGTTTGGCCGGGTCATGGACAACTATAGGAGCCTTCCTACAAGTCTCTGGAATTGTTTCACATCCTTGATAGTCTCACCACAACAATCACCTAATCTGTGGTTTGGATCAATGGGAGAGTCAACTGGATTAACCCCTAGTTTTCCTGAATCCTGTAATAGATCTAGGATGTATTTCCTTTAAGAAATGAAGATCCCCTTTTGTGAGCGGGCCACTTCAATTCCAAGGAAATACCGCAAGGGACCTAGATCCTTTACTTTAAACTGAGTGGCTAGAAACTCCTATAGCTTTTGGATTTCAACTTTCCAATCGCCTGCGATTACTATGTCATCAACATACACTATCAAGGCTGCAATCTTTCCTTCTCCTATTTTCACAAATAATTTATGATCAGTCTGACACTGTTTATAGCCAATCTGTTGCACTATTAGATGAAACTTGTTGAACCAAGCTCTTGCGATTGTTTTAGTCCATACAAAGATTTCTTTAGCCTGCATACTTTTTGTTCTTTGCCTTGGGCACCACTTAGATGAAAACACTATTTTTTCCAGATGGACTGGCCTATTTGACCCAAAATTGTTTAATTTCTTACCATCACCTAGATGAAAACACTATTTGTTCCTGGTGGATTTTAAAAGTATAAGTTTTTATCTTATTGGAATTATTAATTTATTATGTATGGATTTAGTTAATAGAATTTAATGATGAGAAGAAACAAAAATGCCTTAAATATATGATTCAAATATTCAATGACGGTGAATGCAAGTTAAGACCTTAAATGTTGGCTTTAATGAGAGGGAACTGAATGCATTAAATATCTTAAAATAACCTCTTTTCAACTCATTTAATATCAATAACTGATTGCCCTATTTGCTCTCATTTTTTATTAATAAATTTAAATATGGAGGGGTATATTTTGTCCTCAAAAAATTCCAGAAATATTCTTAAGGCTATTCGTGCTTGGAACTATTAATTTATTATGTATGAATTTAATGATGAGAAGAAACAAAAATGCCTCAAATATATAATTCAATGAAGGTGAATGCAAGTTAATACCTTAAATGTTGGATTTAATAAGAGGGAATTGAATGCATTAAATATCTTAAAATTAACTCTTTTTAACTCATTTAATATTAGTAACTGATAATCCTATTTGCCCTCACTTTTTATCAATAAATTTAAATATGCGTAAATTTTGTCCTTATAATTTTCCAGAAATATTCTTTAGGCTATTCGTGCTTTTTAAATTAGTATAGATATGAACAATTGCAAGACACACCATTCTTCTTCTTATCTTATCTTCTCTTCTCTTCTCTTCTCCTTTTTTGTATTGACTTATATGAAGTATTTATATACAATTACATGTATTTGAACTTTAATTTTAATATACAATAGAATAACAACATGATTGTTGGATAAGTATCTTTATATAGTAGTTGAAGTTGATGTGGAAGGCTTCTCTAGTTTTTGGCTTGAAGTGGGAGACCTCTCCCAAATACCCTCCATGTATACCATGGTGGGACTTGTTTCCTTTTCCATCCCATATCATTTGCGTGTACTAGTGGGCTATGTGGTGAATGCAGGCAATGGATAGGACTCATTAGGTTTGGTTTCTTACATTCTTAAATTTTAGGCCAAGATATGCTAGTGGACACTTACCTTTCTGAAGTTCTTTATCTGATGGCATTTACATTGTAATTAGGGTATGTTATTCTAATCTATTTACCACTCAGTTTATATAATGATTTGCTTTGAGTACCCTTTTCCTGTTTTTATTATTGGATTTGACATTTTATTTTTAAATTCAGAGTGCAGGTGGGTTCGCAGCCAATTACATCAATCGCATGGCTTCCTATGCTGCGGTTTCTTGTCATTGTTTCCAAAGATGGAACTCTGCAAGTGTGGAAAACACGAGCTATAGTTAATCCAAATAGACCTCCTATGCAAACAAATTTTTTTGAGACTGCTGGTTAGCTCACTTCATATCAAAATACTCTTACTTTTTATTTTTCTCAATAAAAATTCTTTCTATTTACTATATGAAAAGTTGAACACATACCATATATAGTGAGACTCTATTTTTCTTTTTCAGTTCTCAAGGAAACAGTAGTTCCAAGGTAGTGATTGTTATGATTCTTTTATTACTTTAGCAACCTTATTTAGTGTCTTTCTTCCTTTTATCAGCACCTTGAAAACTGAGTACATGTAGATTGGAAAAGTAGATGTAACCAAAGTTATACATTCTCTCAAAGACATGTAGTTCTTTTTCCATATCAAAAGCTTCTTAACATATCTATCAATCACTCTTTCCTCAGTTGCCCCTCAAAGTAGACCTACCTATGCAACTCCAAGAGAGGAGATCTTGCAACTGAAATTCAGTAAAGGCACCCAATTCCACATGAACCAAATTAATACCTTCCAATTGATTCTTCCCCAATTAGTCTTTAAACTTGAAATCCTCTAAAAAAGCTGAATTGGAGCCTTCAATATCTAGATACCTATAATACCTTCATAGAAAAAAAAAATACTCATAATCATCATCCAAGTCTTATCCCAACTATATGGAGCAAATTGAAGATTATATACTTAGATGCAATAACCTCATCTTCCCAGCCTAAGTCCTCTCAATAGACCCTTGCTAGCAGCCCTACAAACCAATCTTCTCAGAACATCAGCCAACAAAGTAAAAAAGAAAATCAGAAAGATGGTCTCCTTGCCACAAACCTCTTTTGTCAGGAAAAGAAGCATTAGTAGAACCATCATCTATATAAACATTTGATCAAGAGATGCCTTTCATTTCTACAGGAATTGAACCAATTGATGTTACACGAATACTTTCTCAACAGGATGGAGAGGCTGTTTATCCCTTGCCACGCATCAAAGATTTGGTAGTTCACTCAAAATTGAATTTAGCAGCGTTGCTGTTTGCAGTTAAGTTTTCTGTTATACAAATAATTTATTCAGAGATGATTTGGAATCTTATTTCTAAAGAATAAGGGTTGTATCTTTTTAACAGAAAGTGACAGCTGGAGGCCATTTGCAAAATAGGGCTGCATACACTAGGGAAGGAAGGAAACAGCTTTTTTCTGTTCTGCAAAGTGCAAGGGGATCCTCAGGTGATCATTTATTGATGCCTAGAAGAAAAAGTTGAGCACTATTTTAATAATGACTTGTAAAAGTCACTGGCCATCCGTTTTTTTTTTTTTTTTTCAACATTTAACTACGATGGTTTACCTCTTTGCTGCACTGGTTAGGTTGTGATACCATGATTCATTTTCTGTGATATCATGATTGATTTTCTGTTTTTTCATGTGAATATTGCAAAAGTGATGATGTACATTATAATGCTATATGCTTGATCATATCATAGGCATTTGCCCAAACAAGTTTGTTCTATGTGCTCTAGCAGGCAGGGAAAAGAATTGCAATATTATAGATTATGCCTGTTTCTCTGTTTATCCTATTGAAATGATTTGGTTAAACTCATGATTCCTTATGTAACGACATTCATAATTCTTGTCATAGGTAAAATTATTCTGGCAATGTTGCATAATCTGTCACAACAGGTTACCAAAGAAGAAACTTCCACAGGAAGCTCCTTGCCTGTTTTCATTTAAAATTTCACCAATTTGGTATTGGAGGTTTTCAAGACATACTCTCAAACCAAAAGTTGCAACTCTTATACCCTGTTTTAATGGTTCGGCTGGTTGCAGTCCTGGATTGGAAAGAAAAGACAAGAAAAAAAGAGGAAAAGAGGAGAAGAAAAGAGAAAGAGAAGGAGAAGAGGAGAGAAGAGAAACAATGGTCTCAACTGGAGAGAATTATCTCTCACCAGCCAACGTCAACTTTATATAGATTAGCCAAAGAATACAAAGATTATCATCTCCCTACTTATGTATGGGACATGTAACTTAAAGTGAAACAAAATGGAAAAATCACAAGTTAATAAATAAGAGGAGTGACTAAAATAAGTAAATAACCCTCCTTAGACGACTTTAACATACCCAAATGTTATGCCCATTGAACGGTTTTAAAATATTGCCTAGTTGATGATTTTTTAATCTGTCCTAAATATGTCAAAATCATATTTAGTGATCCATCCTTTCTTTGAAGACATGGTCATCTCATTCTTTTCCATGTTCTCTGTGAAATAGAATATCCATATCTTATACCTCTGTCCCTAAATTCTCAATTTCCCATCTTTTATTTTTTCTCAAACATTTATTCTAGAATTATCCATTCTAAATGAAAGGGAAATAATGATTATGATATTTATTATTTACTTCTGTTCAACAGATTTCCAAGAAAGGAAAAGACATTCTTGACCAAAGATCTAGAATGCTTACCCACCTTATGGATTTTTTTTTTTATCATTAACTGTTAAAGCTTTTGTTAATTATGAGGGAAGAATATGTGTAATTACAAAGTACATTGAAATGGATAACTAGCCTCAGCTAACTGCAGTAAGATTATCAATTACAAGTCCACCCTTGAGGTACTAAAGCCTAAAACATCTTCTCTCTTGCTATCTCCTTCTTTGCTAGTTCATCTGATAGGTTGTTAACAGATCAACTTGCCTACTTAACACTTGTTCTCAGGTCCGTCATCAGGTCTTTAACCTCAATATATGCCTATGTTTTCAAGAACTTTCTTAATCTCTTTGCAGCCACCTAGTTACAACCTGTTAATCCCACCACCTGGATTTTTCAAAATTCAAATGAACATCCCTTATGGATTTACACTGTTGCTAAATTCCTAGAATACCTCAAACAAAAATATGTTAGGCAGTGTTTTGTATGCTCAAAACTTTGTGCTGATAGGATGAGGAAGGAAGTGAGGAATGTTTCACTTTGCGGATCCATAGATTCTGCTCAAGCCAAAGTCAAAAAAGATGCTCCAGTTTTGTGGAAATGGCCTGGGTTTGGTCCATAGTTGTCAAGGCGTCGCCTAGGCGCCTCGCCCAAACGCTTTGACTTTTAGCAACTAGGCTCCGTTGTAGGCGACTAGGCGCCCGCCTAGGCGACAAAAATGACAAGGTGGGTGCTGTTTGTAATATCATTTATATTGTTGTATCTTATTATGTATGTGTTAATACATTTTATTATATGCTATATATATCAATAAACTTTGTTTTAATGTTTTACTATTGAAATTTAAAAGATCAAAGGGTTTTGAGGAGAGAAAAAGAAAGAAAGAAAGGAGAGGAAAGAAAGAATAGAATTATAAAGAGGTTCTGCTTTTTTCTATTCTCTCTCTAATTAAATAAAACAAAAACTCCATCCCTGTTTTTTTATTTTACTTTCTATCCTGAATATTTATCATATAAAGTTAACCTTCTTTAGCTGCTAATTTGCCGCATTTTTAGAGGAAATTTAATGTTCTTAATAAAGAGAATTGCTATTTTTTCAATTAATATACATGCTGAATGGTATATGCAACTAGGGAACTAGCCAAAAGTTAGATTTTTATATTATAAACTTTTTATCACCTAGGCGCCCCAATGTCACCCAGAATCGCCTAGATGGCTTGAAAACTATGGTCTGGTCTAGTAAAATCAAATGTGCATGGTAGTTTCATAAAGGGTGTGGGTGGTTGCAGTCTTCATTTGGCATCTGTGTTTTATGTTGCTAAGTTTCCTTTCAGTCTTTTGTCTATTAGTAAGATGACTCAAACACTTAATTGTTCTATAACCTTTTTCCTCCCTCATCATGTTTTCTATGATATTATGGCGAAGATGATTTGTGGAGGTTGTGAAGTTGGAGGGCTGTACTACCTGGATGACAATGGTTTACAAAGAGATCTTCACTCTCACTCCCCATTAGTGGCATTATCGTTTGGTCATCCCTCCATTCATGTTTTGAAGTAATTGGTCCCTAGTTGAGAGTCAGTTACTCAGTTAGAATATGAGTCATGTGAGCTTAGTAAACATCAAAGAGTGCATGTTGTTCCTATAAAAGATAATAGAGTTATGAATACTTTTGCACTTGTTCATTATGATATTTGGGGTCCCAGTCGTGTGTCATTGTATAATGGTTTCAGATATTTTGTAACTTTCATTGATGACTGTTCAAGAATGACATGGATCTATTTAATGAAAGATCATTCAAAGTTGTATTCTATTTTTCTCTTTCCATGCTAAGGTAAGAAATTAATTTGGCACATGCATTAAAGTTTTTCGTTCTAATAATTATAAAGAATATTTCCATGGTAGCTTTTAGTTGTATTTTGATTCTTGTGGTATCATTCAGTAGTCTTAATGTACTTATACATCTCAGAAAAATGGTGTAGTTGAACGAATGCAATAGAGACTACTTGAGCCTTATTGCTTTAGATGTCTATTCCCAAAATCTATTAGAGAGTGATTCTGTTCTCACTTCCTATTTTCATATAAACTGAATGCCTTCTACGATTCTTGGTGGCCAGACCCCTTTCTTTGTATCATTCCGTTCTAGACACCATTCACTCTTATGTTTTTGGTTGTGTATTCTTTGTTTAAAATTGGGTCCAAGCCATGACAAACTTGATTTTCGAGCAGTTTGGTGTGTGTTTCTTGGTTATTCCCATACTCTAAAGGGTCATAAATGCTATGACCCTATTCTTCATATGGTCTTCATAGTTCTAGATGTTACCTTCTTTAAGAGCCTACCCTACTTTCATGGATGGGAACCCTCTCCTTCTGTTTATCTTCCTTCTGATTCAGGTGATATTTTTGTTCCTCTTCCCACTATCAATGAGCCTTTATGATCGTCGATTAACAAATTGTATTGCAAATGAGATTGACTGCCTACACTAGTATTAGGACTGGCTCCCACTTTGGCTTCCAACCCACCACTAATGTCTCAATAATTGCCAGATCCTCCTCAGGCAGGCCTTGATCTTCCCATTGCTCTTTGTAAGGGTAATCGTGCTTGTACTGATTATCCTATTTAACGATATGTTTCATTGGCTCACTTATCTCTTGTCCAACAAAAATTTATTTTTCTTGTCTTTTGTTTCCATTTTGTGTCATGTCTAGGAAGCCCTTGCTTCACCCGATTGGGAAAATGCAATGGATGAGGAATTTCATGCTCTTCTGTCCGACCATACTTGTGACCTCACCTCCTTGCCTCCTGGAAAACAAGCAGTGGTTACCGGTAAGTTTATACCTTCAAGCATTGATGGGATGGTAGTATTGAGAGGTTCAATTCAAAGCTTGAATGGTGGACAAAGGCTATACACAAACGTATGGTGTTGACTACTCTAAGACCTCCCTAATCATTTTGATTGGCCCCGTTTTCAGCTTAATGTCAAGAATGCCTTCCTAAATGGTGATTTGTAGGAGGTGTACATGGAGCAACCTCCTGGGTATGTTGCTCAAGGGGAGGTAGGAAATGTGTATAGATTTTGGAAGGCTATCTATGGCCTGAAACAATTCCCATGGGCTTGGTTTGCCTATTTTAGTAGTGTTGTGCAGGAATTTGCCCTAAAACAGTGTAGTGTTGACCATTCTATGTTTAGCTAGAATACCTTGTCTAGGAAGATTGCCTTGGCTATGTATGTTGGTAATATAGTTCTCATAGGTAGTGATGCACAAGGAATTATTGAATTGAAGAATTTCTTGCAACAACATTTTCAAATTATGGATCTACGTTCCCTGGAAATATTTCTTGGGCATTAAAGTTGCCTGTTCTAAGTGGGGAATCTCCTTGTCATAGAGGAAGTATGGTTAGCTAGAATACCTCATCTATGAAGATTGCCTTGGCTGTGTATGTTGATAATATAGTTCTCATAGGTAGTGGTGCCAAAGGAATTATTGTATTGAAGAATTTCTTGCAACAACATTTTCAAATTAAGGATCTAGGTTGAAATGTTTCTTGGGCATTGAAGTTGCATGTTCTAAGTGGGGAATCTCCTTGTCATAGAGGAAGTATGGTTTGGATCCATTAGATGATACTGGGCTATTACGTGCTAAGCTAGTTAAGACACCTATGGATCCCAATGTGAAGATTGATGGTCAAGGGGAGAGTTTGAATGATACTAGAAGGTATAGGAGACTAGTTGGCAAGTTGATCTACCTTACTATCACCCTCCTGATATTTCTTTCAGTGTAGGTGTGTTGAGCCGGTTTATGCAGAAT